AGGGGAGCAGTTATAATAATGAAAGCACGGGGTTGGGTGCCTGTAGCTCAAGCGGCTGATGTGCCAGCCACAGACACCAGAGCTGGCAGGTTCGAATCCAGTCCAGGCCCAACAAACAACAATGACAATTATAACCAAAAAATAGCGGGGTGTTGTGGTGGGCTCCTGTAGTCCCAGCTACTTGGGAGGCTGAGGCAAGAGAATGACTTAAACCCAAGAGTTTGAGGTTGTTGTGAGCAGTGGCACCACAGCACTCTACCCAGGGCAACAGCTTCAGACTCTGTTTCAAAAAAATAATAAAATAATACAAAAAAATGAAAGCAAGGACTTCAGTCATAGCCACAAATTTAGTAACATGTACAATTCTAGACTCTCAACCTTCTACCACCCATCGCTTATGCAAGACAGAAACCGGAAGTCAGCCTGACACCGCCCTCGGCCCTGCACATCCAATCTATCCTCAAGTCCTGTCAATTTCTCCTCCCAAGGAGCTCGGAAGGCATCCACGTCTGCGCTCCCAACACTGCTGCCTAAGCTAGGTACTATTTCCAAGGGTCGCATCCTCTCCTGCCTCCTACTGATTCTGTATCACAGACTGCTAGAACTTTCTAAAAGTGAAATCTGACCATGTCACCTCCTCCCAGTCAAAATCCTCAGTTGAGCTTGAAAATACCTGAGAAAGGCCTGCAAGGTATGGCCTGACTTGTTGTCCTCTGGCCACACTGGTCTTCACGTGGAGCCCTAACCTTGACTTCCCCCACCACCCACCACCGTGCTTCTGCACAGGATGCTCCCTCTGCCTGCAGAATGCGTGGTCTCAGGGATGCCTTCCTGACCCCCTCGACACCCAGGCGTGGCCCTGTCCACCAGGCCTCCCATGCCCTGCAGCTGCTGTTCCATACTTCCTCCGTGGGACTGTTTCCAGGTCTGTAATTCAGGAGCCTCAAAACCTCACATAGCAACTCAGTAAACGTCTGCAGAACTAGTGGGCCAACGGACACAGTCACCGCGCCTCACAGTGATTACGGCAAACCACTAATCCTAGTCAGCATTTCTCACTGCCATGTGCAAAATCTTAACTACCTAATAAAGCACCATCTGCCCATCACGATGAGGAGGGGTGCAAATACGTCCCAGGTGTCCAGATTGTGGTGGGGAGGAGTAAAATGCATTCAGTATATTCTGCTCGTTAAATAAAATATTTAGTGGAAGCGGCCATGTATTCCCAGAGAGGCCAGGTAATCTTAGAAATTAACATTTTGGCACAGGTAGAACTTTGAACAGAGTTTTCCTAAAGAGAAGTGAAACTTCTGTCAAATTAGAAAATTTTGTAACAGCAATTTAGAAACGACAGAGAGGGCATTCGAAGGCAGTTAAAATCTAAGGTTCTTTCTCAAACACCTTTAAGAGATCTGGGCCTCAAATATAGCACCTTTTCCTCCCTAAGCTCGACCACAGTGGTTTTTCTTTCCAATTCCCATGCCTCCCTTCTGTCTTGATTTATAGACATCAAGTATGGGAGAGGAGGCTCGGCGCCTGTGGCTCAACCGGCTAAGGCGCCAGCCACGTACACCTAAGGTGGCGGGTTCGAATCCCCAGCCCGGACCCGCCAGACAGCAATGACGGCTGCAACCAAAAAATAGCTGGGCGTTGTGGCGGGTGCCTGTGGTCCCAGCTACTTGGGAGGCAGAGGCAGGAGACTCACTTGAGCCCAGGAGTTGGAGGTTGCTGTGAGCTGTAATGCCACGGCACTCTACCCAGGGGGACAGCTTGAGGCTCTGTCTCAAAAAAAAAAAAAAAAAAGTATGGGAGAGGAAAGAAAAAGGGGTTCCAGTCACCCTAACATCAAAGGGCACAGAGGCTGCTTCCAGAACCAGTAACCTGAGCACCATCCCCTACACCTCTGCCCAGAGCGGGGGACCCACAGGCCAAACAGCATGAGGAGAGGTACCCACTGGAACCCCAAATCATCCTTCTTGGCAGTCTGCCAGTTACACATGAACAGATCCCCAAAGCAGCTGTGGGAAAAGCAAACGCACCACAGCTGCTCCTCTCTCCAGATCCTGGGGCTGACCAGATCCTCCCCAGGCCCTGGAGCAAGATTCCACTCCCACGTCACTTCAGGAGTCTGCCCATCCCCCTTTCAGAGATTTTCCTCTGAACTGCGTCAAACATGACCAAGGATCTTTTCCTCTCTGAAGACACTTTTGGCGAGTTTTCTACCTCCCATTTCAGCATTGCCAGTGTCTTCACTCAGAACCAGACACTAACCTCCCAGAGGACAAGCTCTGTCTCACCCCCAAGCAGGTCGCCCTCTTGAGGAATGAATAAACCACTCAATCTTTTTAATAAGTGATGCTTTATTTAAGAAAACACAGCAAATGATTATTATTTCACTTTTACTGTTTTCTGAATAAGGTCATCAAAAATACTTAGATAAGCAAAAATACTTTGCCTGCCAAACAAGGGTGACCGGTTGCAAGGGATCAGGTGAAAAGCTGAAATACTGCACTGTGTCCACTCTTTTACTGTGTTTGCCCCTTAATCCTGTGGTTAAACATTAAATCTCACGGAAGCCACCTAACATTCTTAGCTAACAGAACATTCTCAGCTTAGGTCTGAATAATTACAATCAATAATCCTTTGTTTTAAAGGACACATCCAGAGTTGTTGGTGGGTGCTCAGTTTTAACATTTACTAAGACAGCAAAAAAAAAAAAAAAAAAGACACCAAACCAAAAAGAAACACACACAAAACTGAATTCTCTATAAAGCCTTAGAAGTACCATATCCAAATACCAGCAAGTTCTAAACTCTTCTCAGTGACCAATGGGATAGCTCTAATAGAATCCACATCAAGAAAGGATTAGTATTAGTATCTTTATTTTATTTCTAAGATCCTCCTTTCCCCAAAAGGGGGCAGACAGGAATTTCCCACGGCAGACAAGTATGGCTCACCTAACAGGAAAACTGAAAACTAGATATTACGCAAGACTTAAGTCTTTTGAAAAGTTACTCCAGCTCTATTATACAGGTGATGCTCCTTAGCAGTTTAACAGCTACTTTCACTTTGTCAAATGTCAGAAGCATTTTTTAAGTTCAATTCATCATAAAAGACCTTTAAAGCAAAAGGAAATTAAAATATACCTGCTGTAAGAAATAAGAGAGAACCTTAAAAAGGACGTCTGACACATACAACACGGATGAACCCCCCCCCAACAATGTGGAATGGGAAATGAGACTGTCAAACAAATGACAAATGCTGTTATAATTCCACCTCTACCAGGTACCTAGAGCAGTCAATGTCACAGACCCAGAAAAAGTAGAAGGTGACAGCCAAGGGCTGGGGGGAGGGGCAAGTGGGGAGTCTCCTGGGGAGTTTCCTGGTTACAGAGTTTCAGTTTGGGGTGATGAAGTTCTGGAGACAATGTTGTGATGGTTGCACAACAATGTGAATGTACTTACTGTACACCCCAAAATGGTTGTGATAAATTGTATATTATGTATACTTAACCACAATAAAAAAGAAAAAGAATAAAAGAGATTTCTTTATTATGAGAAATGAGAAAGAGAAGTAGTAACCGGCTTGCTGACCTTTTTACTGAGTGCTATCTTAACAGCTGAGCTCTGTGTCTTTCCTTTTAGTGAAATAAAGAAAACCACACCAGATGAGGTAATACCCTTGACCAATCCTCTGCATACCACTCACTCAGCCCAGAGTAAGGATCTGTATTCAGGTCAGTTTCACACACCACAGGTACTGAGAAGCCTGGATGTCAGGTGTCAGTTTTAAGTTTGAAATTTAAAGAATTTGTGTAGGAAAAAAAAAAATCTACATCATGAATGAAATAATATAACTTAGGCAGAAACTACATTAGCTTCTGAACCAATTACCATATTAATAGAGTAATTTCTTTAGCGTAACAGTGAAATAAGACTACTAATAAAGAACTTCTTTGAGAGAACAAAGAATTTAACCGTAGGAAAAGCACATATGCATTCATTACAGAACCAACTTATTTTGAAAAACCAGAAATAAATTCCCTCCAACTTATTTTGAAAGACCAGAAATAAATTCCCTATGTATCTTTAATTGCAATTTTAATTAATCCTGATCTTTTGTCCGTTGTGATTCAAAACTCAATTAAAAAATGTTAATCCCTCTTCCAGGTGTCTAGTTACCCGTTCACCAATGTTAAGGAAGGTAGAATATACAGCATTTTCTAAGAAATGCCAGTCACGAAGAACCTGCCTCGTTCTCACAACTCCCCAGGCCTGGCCAGCTAATCAACAGTCAGATAGATTCCAGGGGACAGGGGTGCGGGCACTTTAGCCAGCTGACCCGGAGCAGACGCGAGGGAACGAGCTCAAGGAGCCTCCCCGTCAGGCTCCGCCCGCCTCCATCTGCAATTCAAGTCCGTAGGTAACTCTCAGAGACAGAAATCCTACTACAACCAGCACATTTCATGGTTAACAGGACATGGCTTCACCGGCCGGCGGAAAACGGCTGTAAGGAAGCTGAAAGGCAGCTTCAGAAGGACATGGCCTCCTCTTTCGAATGCCCTTTAAGTCGCTCCAGGGTGTGTAGGTCGCATCTGGTTTCGACACTGAAGGAACCCTGAGAGCAGGCGTAGGTGGTCGGAAGCACCTGAGTGTCCTGCGATCTGGACTTTTTAAGGAACTTCAGAGTTGGCATTAGCACTCGCCTTTAAAATCTAAGTGTAAAGGGGGCCTCTAGTTTTTATAAAAGACCGTAAATGCTGGAGAGGGAGCTCACAAAGACACAAAGACGTCAAGAAAACAATCAAGATCTTGTTTTCTTAGCGTTCCACCAAAGGGTGAACGAGTAACAAAGAGGGGCGACGACACCCGATTCCAGTGCTCTTAGCGGTTTAAAAAAGAATCCCGCCCCAGACAGCAGTGCCCCGCGCCTGGTGCAGGTAACTCCCTCGGAGATCAAGCCCGACGCGCGCTACCCTGCCCCGAAACGCGGCAACTTACTGGTTTCGGCATCTTCGGTTCCTGATGGGTTTCCTCAGTCCCCCGGAAACACGACTCTCCAGCAGCAGCCTCGGTTGTCCCCACCTGCAGGCAGAGAAGAGTCCTCAGAGCGCTCCGCAGCCCTCGCGCCCGCCCTTCGCACAGTCTGCGCGCGCCCCGCGCACCCGCTTAAGAACCGGCCCGCCGGGGCTGAGTCACCGCCCCGCCCGCCACGGCGGCCCGAGAGAAGGGGGTGCGGGGAGGAGTAGGGGTAGCGGGGCGCGAGCCCGCCACGGTACTTCTCGGGGCTGCCCGGAAGCCTGCGCGGGACAGAGCACACAGCAAGTTTCACTTTGTGTAACAACCGTTGCTCCAGGGTTAAAACCGCAACCGTCGAACCTTTGAGAAACACTTTTAAAAAATTGTAACCGCCCCGAGCTGCAGAGGGGCGGCGCGGGACGGGAGCGCGTCCCCGCACCTGGGCTCTGCTTTTATTTTGCTAGAGGACCCTGGGGCAGAGTGGAAAGAGGAAGGTCGCGCGGCGGGTGCACTCGCAGGTTCAACTCCACCTGCCCGCTGCGGCGGCCGGGCGGAGACCCCCAAATCCCGCCACCCCCCAACAAGCCACCGGCCGGGGCTCGCGCACGGTTGCTCCTCCAACGGGCCGGCCCGGCCACAGCAGTGGTCGTGTCTGGCCTCTGACCGCCCCCGAGCGCGCGGCGCGAACTCGTCCGGCCCGGTCCCTCCGCCCACCAGCCCCGCCGCGCCCCGCTCACCCGCTGCGCCTGCAGTACCCGGTGCGCTCCCAGCGGTCTGAGCGTCCTGCCGGCGCGCTGCTGCCCGCGCTCCCAAGAGGCCCCAGCTGGGCGGGGTCCTGGGACCTCGCCCCGCCCCGCGCCCCGCCCCCCGACCTGCGAGGTGCGCCCGGGGCAAGATGGCAGCAGGCTGCCGGATTCGCTCCATCTTTAAAGAGTTTCCCTTCCCGCTGCCGTCCCCTTGCCCTTGCAAGAACTGCAATCGGGTTCTCCTCCTGAGCAGAGTGTAAAGTGCAAGGCTGTTCATTCCATATTGGACGGACGGAAATAAAGAAAATGGAAATAAACCTAGAGGGGAGGGCGGCCTCGGGTACCGTTGACACCCCCACCCTGCGGCTGCGGCACTTGGCCGCCGAGCCCCGACGCACGTGGCTGGCCCAGCATCCGCCTTCTAATTCCTCCGAGAAAGACGCGCCATTGCCCCTTTGCTTTGTACTCCGGCTAAGGGACAACTGTGTGCTCGTTTGATTTGACTAGCAAAAAGCTTTACAGGAACCTTCTCTGAAATTCTGGGGATTTTATTTTTACTTTATTTTTTGTTACTGTTTCTTAGGAGTAATTTTTAAAACACGCAAAACATATGTATTTTGGGAGTCAGTAGACTTTTCTTGCTCCGTGATGATTGAGTGCTGGTGATTAGAGCAGTGGTTCTCGGAGTCCCAGATGAGCCGCATCAGCATTAGCTGGGAAGTTGCACAAGTGGAAAGTTAAGTGCTGCTCCAGCCAAGGGATTCAGACGCTCCAGCGTTGGAAGATGCAATCGGTGCATCAACAAACCCTCCAGGTGATCAAGATGTCGGCTAAGGGTTGAGACGAGTGCATCTCCTCAATTTCTTTTCTTTTCTTTTTTTGAGACAGAGTCTCACTTTGTTGCCCTCCGTAGAGTGCTGTGCTGTCGTAGCTCACAGCAACCCCAAACTCTTAGTGATTTTCTTGCCCTCAGCCTCCCAAGTAGCTGGGACTAGAGACGTTCACCACAATGCCTCGCTATTGTTAGAGATGAGGTCTGGCTCTGGCTCTGGCTCTGGCTCAGGCTGGTCTTGTACCTGTGAACTCAGGTAATCCCCTGCCTCGGCCTTCCAAAGTGCTGGGACTACAGGGGTGAGCCTCCGCCACCGTGCCCAGCCCTTCTCCTGAATTTCTTTACCACTAACTCCCTGTCTGCACTAGACAAGTTGTTTAATGACTTTGCATTTTAGTTTTCTCAGCTGTAAAATGGCGTAATTATGGCACCTGTTTCAGAGAGCTGTGATGGGGATTAGATGAGTTAATACATATAAGATGTCTACAGCAGTATTTGGCCCGTAGTAAGCACTGGAATCTATCTTGGTAGAAAGACTAAACCAGTGACTTTGGGCAAGGTTCCAAACTCTAAGGCTCAGTTTCTCACTTTGTAGAATGGACATGCTAATTAGCATCTCCTACGTAAACTTGTAAAGATTAAATGAGATGGTGTATGGAAAGTGCTTAGCACAGTGCTGGGCTGGTAGTAATGCCTAACCTGTCCTAGGAGCAGACTGCTGCGTGGGCAACCCTAACCATAACAAGGTACAGATCCAGGGCATTTCCAGAGGTTAGGGAGAGGAGGGAAGTCTTAAATGAGACTGGTTAAATGAGATGGTGTGTGGAAAGTGCTTAGCACAGTGCTGGGCTGGTAGTAATGCCTAACCTGTCCTAGGAGCAGACTGCTGCTTGGGCAACCCTAACCATAACAAGGTACAGATCCAGGGCATTTCCAGAGGTTAGGGAGAGGAGGGAAGTCTTTTGTGAGATTTTGACCTCTATTCAACTAAGTGTTCCCTCTGAAAGACTGAATTTCTTTTGTATTAAAATGAAGATATAATGGTAACTTCAGTAGAAAGGAAACTATGAAAGATGTTCAAGTAACCTACAGTGATAACGATTCGGATTGAACATAGTAATTCCTTAACATACCCCACCTCCACTGTCTTATCACTGCCTAGAACCTTGTTAACCGGTTTTGGTTCCTGACTCTGATGATAGGATACACCTGTAATCTAACTTTTATCTTGATCACTTCAAAGGATATTGTCATCAAAACTGGATGTTTGAAATAGCAAAGGCCTAAGACCTTCTAGAGAGCATTTCTGAACTTTCCCCTTCAGGGGAGTGCTGCAAAATAAAATGGCATTTCACCTGGGGGTTATGGTAACAGTGAAAAGATGACAGATTCTAGAAACAAACAGAGCTAAGTCTGAAATCTGGTTTCAGCACTTCCAAGCTGGTAACCTAGGGCACGTCTCTCAGGCCAACTGAGCTTTCATCTCTAATGTAAAATGAAGAGGACAGTATGTATTTCATGGTACTCTTGTGTCGTGAATCATGTAATGTGAGCACTTTAATTTACTCCATTTATATGAATAACCAGCCTCCTGTAGCTGCAGATTTTGCATCTGAGGATTCAGCCAAACTTGGATCAAAAATATTTGGAAAAAAACACCCCAAAACAATATGACAATAAGAAATACAAATAAAAAGCCAATGCAGAATATAGCAACGTTTTATATAGTATTTAGTATCTAGAGATGATTTAAAGTATACGGGCAGATTGCATATAACTACATAATTTTGTATTAGGGAATTGAGCATCTTGAAGATTTTGGTATCTGAGTGAGTCCAAAATCCAGTTCCCAGAGGACACCAAGGGACCACCATGTAAGTCCTTTCGTAAGTTAATATGTCATATTTTGCATATGCATTCCTTATTTGTAAAAAGGAATTTTTACATTTCACATTTTACATTTCATTTCACATGTTACTGTGGTGTACATTGTTCCCTCTTTCCCACCCCCCCAAACATTTATACTCTATCTTATGACTGTTTTTTGTTTGTTTTTAGAGACAGAGTCTCACTTTACCGCCTTCGGTAGAGTGCCGTGGCATCACACAGCTCACAGCTCCAACTTCTGGGCTTAGGCGATTCTCCTGCCTCGGCCTCCCAAGTATTTTTTTTTGCAGTTTGGCCAGGGCTGGGTTTGAACCTGCCATCCTCAGTATATGGGGCTGGTGCCCTACCCACTGAGCACAGGCCTTGCCTTGTTTGTTTGTTTTCTGAGACCGGGTCTCACTTGGTAGTCCTCAGTTATATGCTGTGGCATCATAGCTCACAGCAACCTCAAATTCCTGGGCTCAAGTAATTCTCTTGTCAGCCTTCTGAGTAGCTGGGACTACAGGTGCCCACCACAACTTTTGGCTATTTTTAGAGGTGGGATCTTGCTGTTGCTCAAGCTGGTCTCAAATCTGTGAGCTCAGGCAATCCACTCACCTCGGCCTCCCAGAGTGCTGGGATTACAGGCACGAGGCACCTCGCCTGGCCCCTTATGAGTGTTTTAAGGAGAGTTTTTCAAGGGTAATTAATTTTTGTCAGCCTTTAGAACCTGAGCTGCTCCCCCAACACACAGAAAACAGAACTCCAGCTGTATTTGTATTGAAGCTGAAGTATGCTTCTCTAGGAATTATGGCTCAGTCTCAAGTGACAATCCATGTCTTTAAAGTCCCTCAGGTAGTTCTGATGTATACCAAAATTTGAGAACCACTGACTTAGGATGTGACAGGACCCTAACAGGCATTATTTACGTTGCCTCTGTCTTCACCCATCTTTTCCCTGTATTTGAAAGTCATGATTTTGTTAATACGTGATAATCAATGCCTTGGAAGGAAGTGAGGAAACACTGGGGCCAGGAGTCTTGGATACTATTCTCTGCTCTGTGTTCATTTAGACAATGACCTTGAATGATTCCTCATTGCAGAATTTCAGTTTCTCAGATAGAGGAAGGCAATCATATGTCTACCTCCTAGGCCTGGTAAAAAGCTATTGGTAACTTGCCTGGAGTTGTTCAGGCAAGGTTAAACTAAGGTGAGCGAGGGCAGCCATCCCGGCGGCATAAGAAACAATGCAAGGGCTGGAACCTCTGCACATGGAACAGTCCCATCCCCTGATACACAGGCTTCCTATCAAATCACCTTGGAGCCTATCTCCATGCTGGTGCCAGGTCAATCTCAACCACTACAAAAAAAAGTTCACAAATAGTATGACAATCTCCAGCTGCAGTCACTCCAAAAGAACAGTCAACACGCAATAGGGAAACACATAAAGAATAGTCTTGGCAAAACAAGAATTTGAGTTATTTTTCAGTACTTAATAACCTTGGGTGAAAATTTAAGACAGTGGAGGACAGGGAGGTGATGCCATTAGGGAAGGCCCCCTGCGTTGGAAACATTATACTCAGCTGTGTGGTGGTCCACAGGTGTCCTTCACAGCCTCTTGTTACCTCTTCGTAGGTCTGAAATGTTTATTTTAAACATAACATTAGGATAAGCGTTTCACTGGCTGAGAGGATAGCCATAGAGAAATAAACATTTCGTGGACGTGGCTCAAGCAGCTAAGACGCCAGCCACATACACCTAAGGTGGTGGGTTCGAATCCAGCCCGGACCCGCCAAACAACAATAATGGCTGTAACCAAAAAAGAAAAAAAAAAATAGCCGGGTGTTGTGGCGGGCACCTGTGGTCCCAGCTACTTGGGAGGCGGAGGCAGGAGACTCGCTTGAGCCCAGGAGTTGGAGGTTGCTGTGAGCAATAAAGCCATGGCATTCTACCCAGGGTGATAGCTTGAGGCTCTGTCTCAAAAAAAAAAAAAAAAACATTTCGTGGACTCTTATAAAGTTCTATGAACTTCACATACAAATTCCTGATATCATTTGATGTTCCTTTTTGACCTCTGGAAGGGTCTTTTCAGGGAGGAAGAGAGAGCACAGGAAGAACCAGACTCAGACAACCTGACAGGTGGCAACTCAGCTATGCACAAATATGCACTGTGTTCAGAAATAATTTTTAAGGATCTTTACAGGATGACAGCTAGGAAGAGTCTCCTGGTACTATGTTGATGGTACAACTTAAATAATTTGGATCTGCTATGAAGAATTTTGGCCACTGGCTATTCCTAATTGTTCTTTTGGCTTATTGAATAATTTTCATAAATATCCTTTTTTTTTTGCCATTTTTGGCTGGGGCTGGGTTTAAACCTGCCACCTCCGGCATATGGA